ACGAAACTTTGAAGATCATTCTTAGTAAAAGAAAGGAGAAATGATTATTATCATGCCCCTACCCATGGCTTTTCAAAACTCTAATACTTTCGTGCGTGCTTACAATATGTCATGATGTCAACGCTAAATGCTGGTGGATGTGATCTCACCTTTGATAACAAGTTCTTTTGGGGTGAAATTTAGCCCCGTATTTCTTTGGCGGAATAAATCTCGCCCTCACTTGGAATTTCTTTAGCAAAATAAGATTCATATTTGACTATCATTTTAACAATTGCGAAAAGATGCTCGTTTTTCATGTTTAGGTATCCCATAGTGTTTTTCGTTGCTACAACCTTGCTTTACGTCTAGTCTTGGTCTGTGTTTCAAGATCCATGCTTCACCTAGTACTGGTGAAATTATCCTTATTGGCGAGTAGATCTCACAACCTACCCTTCACAACATTAGATCCTTGCTTTCCTAAACAAAGGTTTTCAAGCAGGTCTTTTTTCTTTCTTCCAACCATCAGTGTAGTATTACCCGCTGGGCCTTTGGGGCTGCTTTTCTTAAGGCACTGAAATAACATTCTTGCTCAGCAACTTGATTTCCTTTTATACAAGCTAGCCCTTGGGGAGTTTCGAATGTAATGCATAAGTGATGAATGGATGTTGCTGCTTCAGTTCCTTTAGAACAAGTCTTCCTCAGATTTCATTATAAGCAAATTTGCTATCCATGATAAAAACAAATCCGTGTATTCTTGAAATGCAATTGACTATTTACCCAACTCAATTGCCAATGTGTTTTGTAATCTAGAGATCAAACTATCTCTAGTAAAACTATACAAAGGTTCAGCCATGGGTACCCAAGAGTGATCGACCTGGATTTGATCAAAATATTCAAAGAGCTACCATTATCCACCAGCATGTATTTTAGACCATTACGAGCTATTACGGCTCGCACTACCAGTACATTACAGTGGAGACTTGCCCATCATCATTACTAAATGTAATTGGAAGAGATACAGTTCTAGGATTATCTCGAACCTAAAACACTTCTAATGTGGGCTTCTTGGCAGCACGAGCATAATTCCTTTATATGTTCATTGTTTTCTCGCCTATGTAAGGGCCCAAAATATGATGTTGATTTCACTTACTAGAGGTCGGGAGCTTGAAGCGTTCACTCGTGCTCATGTTAGCTTTACCTACCTTAGCCGATTCCTCGACTTCACCCGGTTGGATAAGGTTGTCTTCTACTTTCAACCACTCCATGCGAACTTCCCTATCGACTTCGAAATTTCATCATCTTAAGTACCTCATAGTATTCATTCGTATTATGATCCCTGGAGCGATGAATTTTTCAGGACTTCTCCTTTGGACTCCCAAGGAAGGGGTGTTCCTCGCCTATGTCCTATAGATGGGCTATAGATATTGTATGGACCCTGCCTTTGGGCTTTTCAAAACGCAAATGTTGCTTCTTCGGCAGTTTAAAGAAATATGCTGAGGTTTTACCTTTGAGCTTTTATATGCGAAGTTGTTCTATCTTTTTGTTGGAGGAAAGAGGGGTTTACCAACTCGATTTGGCTAAGACTTGATAGGAAGGACAATATTAATAGGAAGAGGTAAATAAAATGTAACCTATATTTCTCAACTTCAACACTTACAACACTTGACTTGACTTGTTGTTGTAAAATGGAGGGACTCTACCCCTTTATATAGGGCTTACATGAGATTTCTAGACCACACATTAATCTAGAGAATTCTAGTCCATAAATTTTCATGGGGTTTCTAGATTTCATATTTGGACTAGATATTTTCCTAGAGTATTCTAGATACAATGCATNTCTATTACTTAGATTTTTACATGGGTCTTTCTAGAATATAATTCTAGAAAATGCTAGACTTTGTTGGGCCTTTGAATTGGGCCTATGAGCAAAATTCTTAAACTCATATTACTTACTCCAAAATCAAGTTTACTTTCCAACACTTTTTTCGGTTAGTGATAGTGTCCTCTGTCTAGATCTCACTCTGGATCAGACTTACCAACTGATGATAAGAGGATGGATTTCGGTTGCGTACATCTCTCCAAAAGGGAATCTCCACTAGCAGACTGTTCCACAAGATGTCTCTAACCTTTTTCGTCCGAGATGGTCTCGCAAGCAATTAATTCAGCATTGGACCATGCAAAATAGCTTTTGAAGGACTCCTCTTCTTCCTGCCTCATGTCATTCAATTGTGTCGCTAGTGTTTATCCTATTCTGCTCTCAGCAAGCGTCTCTAGGAATGCCTGATTCAGTTACGGCTGGCTTTTAATTGACCCTAGCGGAAACTCGTTGTACTATCGCTTAGCAGGTCCATCCAACGTTAGGGAGAAACTTTGGCACTTGAGTGCAGGGCTTACCTTTTTCAACCTCGTACGTGCCATATACTCGAACAGATGATGCATTGGATCTCCTTTTTCGTTATACTTCTCTATCATGGGGCAAACAAAGTTATTCAAAATTGGCATTTGATCTCCTTTGAGAACGGCAAATATTCATCGTCGTCATCCATCTTATGTGATTGATTGACCTTCATATCTCAAATGGAAGAGTATACCGTATGAAGTATTGATAAGTCTTTTTTACTATTCGACCAACCTGGCAATAGTGCCGATTAAACATTCATTGTTTGAGCTTACTTCATCCGTAGGCTTCTCCGGAGTGGATTTACCATCGCGTCTTTCCTTTCATTTCTTCTCCAGTACATTTTCATCGGTTCTTGACATCCGCAAGCTGCTACTATTTTCACGAAATGAGTTAGCAACATGCACTATTCCATTTTCATCAGATTCACCATGCCAATTTCTCCTTGGATTCTCAATTTTCGCATGCAACGATGCCTTCTTTGTCGTTAACGCCATCGGGCTCTCAGCCATTTCGTTGATCTTTTTGAAATGGACAATTTATTTCATAAGCAGCAATGTTGAGCACAAGAAATAGTGGGTTACGACTTTGTTGGTGTTTCCTCCCGCTGTCGCTTTGGATTCACATTGCTATCTATCAGATCATCACTACTTATCGTCCGATTTCAATTTCCAGCGTTATCTTTTCTTCTGGATTTACTTCCAGATTTCTCATTTCTGTGGATTTCTAGGATTTCTTAACGATAAAAAGTTTCTCAAAACACTTTGCTCAAGTTTCTCACAGACGACGTTGATTTGTTGACGATAAAAATCATATCAACAAATTCCTCCCACCTAACCTGGTTTTTTACCTCTTAAACTTAATGATTTTAATGCTCAAATCGGAGCAAGAGAAGAAATAGTTATTTGAGAGAGAGATATTTTAATTTTCTTAGTTTTCTTATCTTATACGGAAATATTTATAGATTTCTCTCAATGCTTTGGACAATTCGATCATTTAGAAAAAAAAGAATGACATATGTGACGTAGCGGAAGATTATAGGAAAGATGAACAACCTCACAAATATGAGATAAACTCACGAAAATTTTATTCAATTCAATAATGTCTGCCTCAAAGGGCNTCCTAATATTCAGGATCGTCCTCCAACAAACGGAATCAAAATCCGAATTTTATTCAATGAGATATTACCAAAATAAAAATTACCATAAACGGCAAAAACGCGTGATCGAGAGCCTAAACGATGGAATCTGTCCGAAATCCGACGTACGTCATGGCCGAAGGCGATGAGTTGTGATCCTTGGCCCGTTTCCACTCAAATTAGACTATTAAATCGTAAAAAACGGACAAACCCAAAGTTATCATGAAATCATTATTTTGGCTTGCGATCCCATTTCATCATAAATTCTAACTCATTATTCACTTCATTAATATGGCAGCCTCTTACTGGTTAGTTTGTAACAGACCTTATTATAGTTTGAGGTTTTCTTATTAACTTGTCCTGTATTCATTGACGTTGAAGTCATATTTTAAATATTCGCCCATGGGCACCTTAATGCCAGCTTTTAACCAGTTTGGACAGAGAATGACTCGCTTATGCTTTGTACAAGCCTTTTAGTTTGCAAATTTGGAATAAGTTCGCGAAATTGAATTTTATTTGATTCAACAATAGTATCTACAATAAAGCTCCTTGTACAAATATAGTTTGACATAATGGGTTACAAATACACAGGTGGCTGTGTATCTTTGGCTGCCACAAAATTGTTTTTTTGTAAAAGACCCAATCAATGCTTGCTACATGTATACATGCAACCCATTTTGACAATTTCTTCTGTATATGTATCAAAGTTCATCTAATCCTATCCCCTAAAGCAAACTCATTAAGTAAAGCCAATTCTAAAATATCGAACAACAAATCATGAAATTTGGTATAATTATTTTGAAAAATAAATTAAATATTTTGTCAAATTATTTATATATTTATTTCAGTTTAGTTTTTGATTGAAAAGTGATTGAATTAAAATTTAAGTGCTTAAAATTCGTAAATCTAAATATATAAACAATAAGTACACAGTAGATGTAGATAATATGAAATGTGTGGATAAAGAAAGTATCTTTATCCAATTTTTCTTGGTTGACAAAAAATAAAAATTAGGAAGAAGAGTGATGAATCTCACAAAATGTTTACTTTTCATTTAAAATTACATGGTGATTATAACGAAATCCAAAATTTATAATTTAATCACTTGGGTGGATTACATCTCTGGGTTGATCAAATAGCAGACTCCTTTAATTTTTGTTCTTGGAGACTGCTGTTTTAGAATGAAAGTTGCTTGAGTTGCCGCCTTCAAAACGAGATGGCCTAACCACAAAATGAAAATTAGCTGCTGTGAATAATTAGTGATTTAGACCGGGAATTTACTGTGTATTTCTTTAGAACAGAAATCACTTTTATAGAGAAAAAAGACATTTTAGACATACATTAATTCAATTTCTTATATATAAGAAAAACAGTTTTTTTCCAGACACACAGTAGGCTACCTCCATAAGTTTATGTATATATGTTTAAAGAACTTCTATAATATACTTCTATAGTCTAGTCTGGCCGTTTCTACATTTACAGGTTTCAAATATTGGAACCAGATTTTGAAGCTTCACTCTTATGGAACCTCCATAAGAACTGATAATCCTTTGCTTCACAACCCAATTTCATGGCTTCACAATAGGCATTCACACAACTTCTTTTTCCATTGCTTGCCCACTCAATTTTCACCCAGCAGTTAAAACCATTCAATGACAGAGAAAAACACGAATCCTCGAGTAGGAGCACAACCTCTCCACCGATTCTCTTGCATGCACCACTACCATCGTAGGAAGGAACAGAATCGAGCCAGCAGCATTCGGGCTGACCCACCATTTCCTTGTAGGCAGAGTTTGTCAGTCTAACCTTGTTGTTTGAATCAGATACGACGGCTGGCATTGCCTCGGCCTCAACCTCCTCCTCCACTTCTGTCGCATTCTTCAATACTTGCTTGCCTGTAGCAGTGGCTCGTTTCCCTGAATTCTCGCTGATGTTTTTGACACTTATGGTGGAGCCGATGGGGCGAACAGCTCGTGGTGTTATAACGACTGGATTGATCGGTTCTTTTGATTGTGGCAAGAAACCCAATTCCTCAGAATATTCCACCGCTATGTTCAAATCAATTTCAGGTTTCTTCCCTTCAGGATTTTGGGTGGCGGTGCACCGCAGGACAGGAAGAGCGACAGAGTCAGCCGGGGTGGTTACAATTGAATCTAGCCTACATTTAAGCGAAACAAGATTTGGTAAAAGAGGAATTTGAGCAATACCATTTGGGTTATGGGCAAATCCAAGAATGGCTAAATTCTTGGCTGGTGAATTCGTTATCTGATACGGCGGCGACAGCCCCTGAAGACAAGTACTCGCCCTTTTCATCGCCGGTGCCGGTGGTGCAAAAGAACTCCTCCCTCTCTTCCTAGTCCTCGTGGGCCTTGCCTGCAAGTGATTCCAAACATCCCTCAAATAAGGAGACCTTCTCATACTCTGAGGCACACCGGGATTTTCACTCACGCCTGAATTCTCTTGTCCAGACTCCGGCTTCGGCGCTATTGGCCTGTACCTAGACATGATTTCAGCAGTTCTTGCTGTGTTATAAGGATTCACGGTTCGAATCATTTTCAATTTTTTTGCAGGGCAAGGGAGGAGGATGAAGAAGCTGTGATTTAGTGTGAAGGGGTGAGTACTGGTTTTAAGAAATGTTGAACCAATGAGAAAGAGGCAACATAAAACGAAATGACAAAATAAATTGACACTTGGAAGTGCTGGGTGGGTACGTGTTTACGGATATTACAGATGGGGACATGTGGGATTTCAAAACCTACATGCACGCTTACACTTATCACTGTGAAAATAATACGTGAGAGATAAATATTAGGGTTGGGTTTTGTTTTGTTTTGATTTGATAGAAAGAAAGAGGTTAAAAAAGAGCTGTTGTATCTATGGAAATTGGAATGGGACGTTCATCGAATATGGAACGAATATATGAACTTTTCTTTTAGCAGCGAGTCTACAAAATATGAACATAAAATTATATAATTATTTTTAAGACCCCGTTTGTTTCTCATTTTTCATCTATAAAAATGAAAAATATGACAGTTATTCATCACATCAAATCATCAATTTTGAATTTCTATCTTTTGTGTGGGGTCCAATAACGACTATATTTTTCATTCTCATTTTACAATAATGATAATCAAACGGAGCCTAAATAACAAGTTTAAAATTGTACTCTTCGGCTTTGTTTGAGTCTTTTTTTTTTTTTTTAAGGAAAATAGATTTTGTAATAATAATTTTTTGGATAATGTAGTTTTAAAAAATATAGAAAAATTTTGAGTTTATACATAAATTATTTTATTGAAAAAAATATGTAATTAAAAATGAGTTTGAAAAACAGTTTTATTTAAATAATGGGTCTAAAACAATGACTTCATCTCTATGTTCATTTTTATTATTTTTTGGCATATTTTGATCGAGGTTAGCCAAACATTCCTCCTAAATGTTTAATTTAGATCAAAATTAAATTTTTAATAAATTTTAATAAAAATAGATAAAATGTTTGATTAAAAAATTGAATAAAATTAATTTTTTATTTTAACTTAAGTTTTAAATCCTTAAAATAAACGGGGGTTGTTTTCAATCGGTGGAAGAAAAGGGATCCTTTTATGCAGTAACGCGTGTGATGTTAGGCTTCATGCATGCCAACAGCTATCACCCTATTTATTACGGATTCCTGTCAACTTTTCTACGGTATTTATACATTTTGTACGGTATTTATACCTCCCCCTGGAAAGCATAACGAATTATTTTGTCTTGTAAGCCTCTGTTCGGTAGTCATTAAAAAAGGTTTTTTCAAGGATAATAAATTTTAAAATAATAATTTTCTTTTAATGTGAGATTAAAAAATTTTAAAAAAAAAACTTTGAATTTATTGTAAAATATTTTATTGTATGAATGTCATGTGATTGAAAATGAGTTTATTGAAATCATGACTCTATTTATGCACTTCTAATAAATAAATATTAATTTTCAATGTATTCATACTTCACTCGTATGTACATAATTTCTTTAATCGTAGGTCGGTGAGAAATATCAAATACCTTTTTCATTTGAGGGTGTGACGTACTGCTGCATATCCTTGCACATTAGATACATGTACGAGTTTATCGTTTGGATAAACGACTACAACGTGTACTTAAGATAATTTTATGAATTTACATGTGATTCATAATAATTATTTACAAACAAGTTTGTTGTTCAAATCATAGTTATCAGACATAACCTAGCTAGTAGTCAACCCAGGAAAATTATTGGATTATCGAGTCAGTGGTTCAATCAGCAGGTCATTGTTTGAGCATAATTTAATTAAACTTGTGTTTGACACCCATTTTGGGGAAAAAATGAATTATAGAATAGTGATTCATGAAAGAATGTGTGGTTAAAAAGTAATGAAAAATTTTAGATTTTTGTGTAATGTTATTTTATTGGAGAATGTGTGGTTGAAATGAAGAAAGAGAAAAAAATTGAGAATGAGAATGGGTATCAAACATGGCCTAAATATATTTTTGAAACAAAAAGAAAATCATTTTGCTCAATCTAAATATATATATTTGGCTCACATTATATTACATAAGTTTACCAATTTCCATCAGTCAATTAGTACATATCGTTCATACCTTTCACTATTATTGTGAAAAACGTCTTTACCTTTCATTTTTTAGTATTTTCACCCTTATTTCCACATTTTATTTCGCAAAATGTCATTTTCATCTATTTTTTCAATTAAAAATTGTGAAATGAAGAATATACCATTCTCTTTAAATAAAACTAGATGAAAAAAAGTAATTACAATCATCGTTCCAAATTTAAAAAAAAAAAAAAAACACACACACACAAATGCTTACCAAATAAATTATTAAAAGAGTAATTAGTACATAATGTCCATACATTTCATTATTAAGTGGAAAACGTCCATACTTTTTATTTTTTGACATTTTCGCCCTGAATTACACCATTGGTCGTGCGAACCATCATTTCTATCAATTTTCATCCAATTTTTCATTCGTCCAATTTCTCATTAAAGAGCTATAAAATGATGAATATAACATCCTATTTAAAAAAAAAAAGTAAAGAAAATTGATTTTTTTTAATTTTTAATTTCGTTATTTCACAATTTTTAATTGAAAAAAATAATGAAAATGACATTTTGCGCAATGAAAGATGGAAATAATTGTGAAAATGCCAAAACATGAAAGATAATGACGTTTCCCACAATAATAGTGAAAAATGGGGACGTTATGTACTAATTACCCTTTCCATAATGGTCAAGGAAATGTCATTCCATGCTAGAAGCCCAAGTTCCAATAACTGCACTTTAATTAGTAACCATCCTGTTTACAGTGAGCACGTTCCAGTCTCTTCTTAAACCCATATGAACCGGACAGTTATTGAACGGTTTAACTGATTTTTGATCGATTTCTTTGCTCACTTGAAAAACAAATGCACTCGGATCGGACCACTATAAAGTTCAACAGTTTTCAGTCTGGGTTTGTCTGTCGGGTCCAATTTTAATAACTATGGTTCAAATTATACCCGGTGTGGAAGGATTTTCCAAGTTGAAATGGATAAGTTTAGATTGTCTTGAATTTTCAATCTGCGTTAATGTACTAAGCCTATGTTTGAGCCCATTTTTTCTTGAAAAGGAGTTTCATGATAGTGAATTTTTGAATAATGTGTAGTTAAAAAGTACAATTTTTTTAAAAAAAAATTTACGTGTAAAGTATTTTATTAAGAGAATGTGTAGTGAAATTGAGTTTAAGAAAAATGAATTTTTAAATAATGTGACTCAAACGTGGGCTAAATATGGAGGATTGTGCATGGCACGTGGAAGTAGTTCACATGCATTGTTCAAATAAACTTCGAGTGCATGATTAATTTCATATATTTAGCTCATATTTGATCTGGATTAAAATTTAAATAGGTGTCAATAATTAATTTTAAATATGTAATTTATGGGACTTCCAACTTTTTAACCACACATTTTATCAACCTTTATCAAAATGTGCTAAAAAATTATTTGTTAACTCCATGAAATAGGGACTTAATGTTTCGTTAGATACACAGAATAAACATTGGTTAAACGTATTATAAACATGTGTGATCACTACTTACAATTGATATATGTTACTTTTTGTTGATGTACAATATTGTAGGATAGAGTTTCTCAAAAGCAACGAATGGATTTAGATCCATTTGAGTTAATTGTAGAAATATAGAAAGAGATTACAAAGCATTGAATTCATAGTTATATATGTATATAACTATGAATTCAATGCTTTGTAATCTCTTTCTATATTTCACATATATAACTATGAATTCAATGCTTTGTAATCTCTTTCTATATTTCTACACACATATATATATGAATTCGATGCTTAGTAATCTCTTTCTATATTTCTACACACACACATGTGTGTGTGTGTGTAACTTGATCCCACCATGTTCGTCGAGTAGATTGAAGAACACCATAATTGGACATATCACTACACCAAAAAAGGGCATTTGCAACATATAAAAGGCAACATTCGATTGTTAAATGTTGCTAAATGGGTCTACCGCAACATTTGAATAAGCGAATGTTGCCGTTTGTTGACATTATTGAGCTTTGGCAACATTTTTTAAATGGATGTTGCAAATGTCGCCTTTCGCAACGTTTATTGAATGTTACGAAAATTTCTATTTTTTGCAACGTTTATTCAACGTTGCTGAAACTCGTATAATATAGCCTTTTGCAGCGTTTAATAAACGTTGCAAAAATAACTTTTTGCAACGTTTATTAAACGCTGCAAAAAGTTTGTTTTTCGCAACGTCTAATAAACGTTGCCAAAGAGTTTCCATTTTT